AGGAGGAGGAGAAGAGGAGGAGGAGGAGCAATAGCAGTAGCAGCAGTACTCGGTAGCCGTAGGAGTAGCATCAACAGTAGTAGTACTACGCCCGAGGCCACTCGTTTGCCCGTGCGACGGGGGTGACGAGAAAGCTCGAAAGTTGTGGCAGGTGCGGTATGTTGGGAGTTGTTCACGTCTCTGTGGAAACCGAAGTTCGGCAAAACACCGGGTTATTATTCGACTCGTTTGTCCATGCATCTGCGTGACGGCGAGCATGAAAGCTCTCAAGATGTGGCTAGTGTGGGACTTCCTAAAGTGCTCCTTCTTGGCTTCCGGTGTTTCGACAACAAGCAGAAGGAGTTGGTGGGTGCTAAAGCCGAAAGCATTACAAGGAGTATGTCCTGCAAAAACCCAAGACCCTAAAGGGAGTGGGTGGGTGTGAAACCCGAAAGCAAACCCAAAACCCTAAAAGGAGTTGATCCAAAGCCTGAAAGAAGTGACCAAGTAAGAAAACCCAAACCCCTAAAAGGAGCAGCTGGTGCAAAACCCAAGCCCTAAAAGAAGGGGGCAAGTGAACCCTCAAAAGGAGTGCAAAGCCCGAACCCTAAAAGAAGTGGACACGTGCGAAAATCCAAAAGACAAAAAGGAGTAGCTGGCGCAAGACCCAAACCCCAAAAGAAGCGACTAAGTGAGAAACCCAAAAACCCTAAGAGGAGTAGCTAGTGCAAAACCGAAACCCAAAACGAAGTGAGTCGCCCTAAAACGAAGTAGCCGGTGCAACACCCAAACCGTAAAAGAAGTGGACAAGTGCTGGCGCAAAACCCAAACCCTAAAAGAAGTGGGCAAGTGCAAAAAACCCAAAGCCCTGAAAGGAGTAGCTGGTGCAGAACCCGAACCCTAACAAAAAGTGCGTAAGTGAGAAACGCCCACCAAACCAACAGGAGTATCCGAAGGCGGCGGGTGCACCGACCATGATGTTGCTGCTGTTCAAGGATATGGTCTTGATGATCGTGGTTCTGGTAGATGGTCGTAAGTCTGAGGATCGAGATGCTGATATGGAGGCACGTTGATGCTCATGGTAATGTTGGCAAGGATGACTTCGGCGGTCATGACGTGTGGTTCCGGTGCAGTGTGTTCGGGTCTAAGGCTGACGTGTCTGAGTGTCGGCAAAGGGGTGGCTTTGTGCATCTTTGCGCCTTGTAGCAGTGGCAGTAGCAGCAGTTGTAGCAATAGGTGTAGCAGTAGCAGTGGCAGTAGCCCCAATAGGAGTAGGAGTCGGGGTAGGAGTAGTAGTTGTTCTGGTACTCTTGGTCGTCGCGAATCTAAGAGGGAGACCCCAGACACCGCGGTCCTGCAGAAATGCACGTCAAACAAACAGAAGCCTAGAGGAAAGTAACAAAAGCTTGCAACGGGCTTGTACGAGGATGCAAGCCAATCCGCACCTGCACTGCTACACGAATCAAAAGGGAAAAGCTCGAAAGAACGCCTCTCCTCACCATCCCAGTACAGAATGCTGCTCCGGTCAATGAAACGTAGGAAGTACTCCCAGTGGCCTGCATGTCACCGAGCCATGCCGCAGATTGGAGCCAGTCTTTCCATGCATTCTTATATCACGGCATTGAGTCACGTGTGCCACAGGGGCCGCAGCTGCGCTTCTAACATGGCCTTCATACCAAAACTTGGAACCACCTCCCCAAGCCCGAGGCGGCCTTCAACATCTGTGATGAACTCGATTTGGCTCTTGCCTCGCGGCATAACTCAGAGAAGGACGTCAGCATGAACACGACGAATATGCAGAGTCCACCAAGCGTCGGGCTGTTGAACTTGAAACTGCTAATCTCGACAGCATCCTGATCAGGCGATGCCTCACAAACGGAGCACTGTTCAGGCAAGAGAACCTCTGCAGCCAACCCTTCACCTAGAAGGGACTTGCAGTGCAAACCATAAACCCAATCACTGCAACATGCTCTCCATGCCTGGCAAGGCTTTGCACATCCAGCAACACTGCACACCAGCCTCAACCCAGCTCCTAAAAAGTAAATGCATAATCCGGGACGTGCAACTCATTGCGCACTCCCATCAACGTGCGTCGTTGCAGTCACGAAGGGCAAAACCGAAGCTATCCGATCATGTCCAACCGAAGACAGAAGTTCAGAAGTCTGTGGAATATAGGCAATGCCTCAACCTGGAAGGAAGTTGTGGCTGATGGAGCGTCATCAACGCACACACCTTAGCTGAGCATGCCAATGTGTTCAACGAAGCCGCTTGGAACATGCCGCATCATGTCTTGCGGCAGCTCTTCGTGTGGGCAATTATGAGTGAGACCACCATCACTATGAGTGAGACCACCATCACTAGCACTACCACGACAACTGCCCGCAGCAGTAGCCCTAAACAGTCAATCCCACCCCTCCTGGTCGTCGCTGTCGTAGTAGAACTAATGCAGCTGCTGGGCACGACAGGTTGTCATGTACCAATGCGTGGTGAAAACACATCTTCTTTTTGCCAACACATATGCTGCAGCTGAGGCTACCAATACTACCGCTACTGCTGTTGCTACTGCTACCACCACGACCACCACCACCACCACCACCACCACCACCACCGCTGCCACGCCACTGTGACCCAGCCACAACAACAGCCACTACTACCGCTACATACCACTACTACAACTACAACTACAACTACAACTACAACTACAACTACAACTACAACTACAACTACAACAACTACTACTACTGCTACTACTACTGCTACTACTACTACTACTACTACGACTGCTACTACTCCAACATGACAACTACAATAACTACAACAACTACCATTGTTACCACTACTACCACTACGATGGCGACG